CAGAGGAATCGCAGTATCTGTAGGTTCTTGTGTTGTTCGAGATGCCACTGGGAACATTAATGACACCGTTGTAACAGAGTTCACAAACTGTACATCTGCAGCCTGCAAATTAAACTTTGACTTTTCATATTGTGAAAGCAGTCCTTGTTCCTATGGCCTAATGAACAACTTTCAGGTAATGAGCATGGTGTCAGGATTTGCACCATTAATTTCTGCAGGTATCTTTTCAGCCACTCTTTCCTCAGCATTAGCATTTCTTGTGAGTGCTCCCAAAATATTTCAGGCTCTTTGTAAGGACAACATCTACCCAGCTTTCCATATGTTTGCTAAAGGTTATGGAAAAAATAATGAAACTCTTCGCGGTTACATCTTAACATTCTTAATTGCACTTGGATGCATCTTAATTGCTGAACTGAATGCTATTGCTCCAATCATCTCTAACTTCTTCCTTGCTTCATATGCATTGATCAATTTTTCAGTATTCCATGCATCACTTGCAAAATCTCCAGGATGGCGTCCTGCATTCAAATACTACAACATGTGGATATCACTTCTGGGTGCAATTCTTTGTTGCATAGTGATGTTTGTCATTAACTGGTGGGCTGCATTGCTAACATGCGTCATTGTCCTTGGGCTGTATATTTATGTTACCTACAAGAAACCAAATGTGAACTGGGGCTCCTCCACACAAGCCCTGACTTACCTGAATGCACTGCAACATTCAATTAGTCTTTCTGGAGTGGAAGACCATGTGAAAAACTTTAGGTCACAGTGTCTTGTTATGACAGGTTCTCCAAACTCACGCCCAGCTTTACTCCATCTTGTTCATGATTTCACGAAAAATGTAGGTTAGATGATCTGTGGCCATGTGCATATGGGCCCTAGAAGACAAGCGATGAAAGAGCTGTCCATGGATCAAGCCAAATATCAGCGCTGGCTTATTAAAAACAAAATGAAGGCTTTTTATGCTTCTGTCTATGCAGATGACTTGAGGGAAGGTGCACAATACTTGATGCAGGCTGCTGGTCTTGGTCGTATGAAACCAAACACACTTGTCCTTGGATTTAAGAAAAATTGGTTGCAAGCAGATATGAGGGATATGGATATGTATACAAACTTATTTCATGATGCCTTTGACATACAGTATGGAGTAGTGGTTATCCGCTTAAAAGAAGGTCTGGATATATCTCATCTTCAAGAACAAGAAGAACTGTTATCATCACAAGAGAAATCTCCTGGAACCAAGGATGTGGTATTAAATGTGGTATATAGTAAAAAATCAGACTTAGATACTTCCAAGCCATCTGGTGAAGAATCTGTTACACATAAAGATGAGGAAGAGGATGGCAAGACTCCAACTCAACCACTGTTGAAAAAAGAATCCAAAGGCCCTATTGTACCTTTAAATGTAGCCAACCAAAAGCTTCTTGAAGCTAGTACACAGTTTAAGAAAAAACAAGGAAAGAATACTATTGATGTCTGGTGGCTTTTTGATGATGGAGGTTTGACATTATTGATACCCTATCTTCTGACTACCAAGAAAAAATGGAAAGAATGTAAGATCAGAGTATTCATTGGCGGAAAAATAAACAGAATAGACCATGATCGGAGAGCGATGGCTACTTTGCTTAGCAAGTTCTGAATAGACTTCTCCGATATAATGATCCTAGGAGATATCAATACCAAACCAAAGAAAGAAAACATTGTAGCTTTTGATGAAATGATTGAGCCATACAGACTTCATGAAGATGATAAAGAACAAGACATTGCAGATAAAATGAAAGAAGATGAGCCATGGCAGATAACAGATAATGAGCTTGAACTTTATAAAACTAAGACATACTGGCAGATAAGGTTAAATGAGTTATTAAAGGAACATTCAAGCTCAGCAAATATTATTGTCATGAGTCTCCCAGTTGCACGAAAGGGTGCTGTGTCTAGTGCTCTCTACATGGCATGGTTAGAAGCTCTGTCTAAGGACCTGCCACCAATCCTTCTGATTCATGGGAACCATCAGAGTGTCCTTACCTTCTATTCTTAAATGTTCTGTACAGTAGACTGCCCTCCAGAATGGTACTTCAGTGCCTAATGAAGTGACTGAAATCTTCAATGACACGTTAACATTACGTGGCAAACTGTGACTTTTCTCACTATTTCATTAATTTGAAAGCACACAGGAAAGTTGTTTCATTGATATTTGTATGGAGACTTCAGTTTTAGTCAATTCCATATCTCAATTTTTATGAATGATTATTCTCTCTTGTTGGATTGAAGTTCATACGAGTAAAGTTTTCCTTTGCTACTTGAATAGCAATAAAAGTGTGTGATTTTTTTTTTGATTGATGAAAGGAGTACAAAAAGCCTTTAGCCTTGAGTGCCTTCTGAAACTAACCAAATTTCATCCATATATCCTCTTTTTATAAATTTGTAGAATGTCAAACTTTGCCTTCAGATATTTTATTTCTAGTCTCTTTCACCTTAAAATGAACCCTGCTTTTCATCTTTGGTTGACCAATTAGTGTTGAGTACTGTATGTTTCCTATGTTTTGTAAAAACACGTTAGATATAAAAGGTGAGAATTAGGGCAGGCTAATGAAAAATGGGAAAAAGGAGGGGAGGGGTAGCCAAAAAGTGAACCCCAAGGATAGGTTTGTATGAGTATATGTAAATATACAACTAGGAAAGGAAAGGTCCAAGATACCTTTTTAAACTTTCATTTGGCTATTCTGGGTTTATTTTTCTGAAACAGTAGAGAAGGTTGAAGATTTACCCAGTATTTCTATTTACTGTGCTGAAAAATCACATGTCATTTTTAAAATTAAAATTCTCAAGATCATTTGTATTTATTTTAAGAGACATTTATCCTAATTTGGAATTTCCCTCAAATTTGAGGGACTTTTAAGAAACGCTAACAGATTTTTCTGAAGGAAGTTTAGACAAAGCAATGTTATTTAATAGACTATTTCAATGAACACTATGTGGAATTTCACTATACTATACCATTCTTTAGAAATCATTAAAGTAATGTTTAATCAAATGGTTAAATGGACCACTGGTTTCTTAGTGAAATGTTTTTAGGCTTCATTCAATTGTCAAGTACACTTAGTCTTAATACACTCAGGTTTGAACAGATTATTCTGAACATTGAAATTTAATCCATTCTTAATACTTTAAAACTTTTGTGTTAAGAAAAACTGCCAGTTTGTGTGTTTGAAATGTCTGTTTTGACATCATAGTCTACTAGTACAATTTTGACAGTGCATATGTACTGTTACTAAAAGCTTTATATACAATTATTAATGTGAAGTTGTTCATTTTTTAAGGAAGGATTTCCTAAAACCATTTCAAGGGATTTGTGTCTACATATCTGTATGTGTGTGTATATGTAAACACAGATACAGATAGGTACATGTAATGAAGTTTGTGTTGCTGGTATTTTGCTTACAGTGATCATGGTTCATTAATGTTTTTTGGTAAACATGTTCAAAATCAGATCAATAGATTATAAGTTTCATGGAGAGCAAAGGCAATCCTTTGAAGGCCATAGTATAACTTCCACAACTATCATCCAGTTACAAAATGAAGAGCATTTTATCTAAAGTCCTTGTCAGTTGGGTTCATTGATAAGTTTCAGTCATGGAGGATTACACAGGTTCTCATGATTCTTGATAAAAAAATCTATAAAAATTATTTTCAGTGTTGCAGTAATTTTGCTGCATGAGTATAAATTGGAGATATGCCCATTTCAAGTCAAAATATTAAGAAAGTGAAGTAATCGATTTTTCTCAATTTTTCCTGCATTATAGCTCACAGCATTGTTTCATTTTGTCATTACAAGTTTTGCAGTGCTTAGGGGGAAAGAATAGAAATGTCATTCACTAAACAATATCATGTGTGAACTTTTTAAATGGTTAATAGGGCATGGACTGAGTGCTGCTATCTTGAAATGTGCACAGGTACACTTCCTTTTTTTTTTATTTAAGGGTTTTTTTTTCCATTCAGGAAGACATCATTGTGATCTGTACTATAGGAACCAAATGTTGTGCATCATACAAGTGTGTATAAAGTACATAAAATATATCTAAATATGCATAGTGCAGGGAGGGTAATACTGTCTGTGAATACTGTAAGAAACTTTTCACTTTTTTTTTTTTTAAAAAAGCTTATTTTCACTTTAGACACCAGGTCAAAAATTTTCAAGGTTGTTGTAGTGCTCTCAAAATTTGAACAATTCTTAAAGATGCTAGCTAATGTTGAAGCTATTCATTCAACTTTATTTATGCTGAATGTTGATTATTTTAATGCCAAGTTTTTAATTATAATCATTGGTGATAACTTGAAAATAAATGATTACAATGGCATTTGAGTTCATTATTCCTATAGGTGAGAATTCAGTGGGTTTAGCGAGAATGTTAGCGTTAAGCTGATCAACAGTTAATTAAATCAAATATTTATTTGTTACATTTGTATTTTAGGTTCCTATTTTTATATTGCTTTCTGACATTACTTTTTTTTAAGTCTATGGAAATAATTTAAAGATTTGAGCGCTGATGGATGATTATCTACTAAGTTTGAAAATGTAATATTTTGATAATACTGTACTATAACTGTCACACAGATGCTTTTTTAATGTTTTAACCTTGAGTATTGCAGTTGCTGTTTTGTACAGAGGTTACTGCAATAAAGCAAGTGCATTCATTAAAACTAAACTGATCCCTGTGGATAAAATGAATGGTGAATCCATAGAGAAGAAAGGAATTTGAACACTGATTTCACTGTAAGGAGAAAATTCTTTTAGAACTAAATGGAGGCATCTGTTGTGTTTAAATTAAGAGTCTGTAAGTACCAGCCAGGGACTAGGTTGACAGCCATTTCTGTAATAAAATAATAAATCATGGGGATGGTTAGGGAAGCAAGAAACACCACATTCTTGCTTTGTTCAACCAATTAAGCAATAAGACATCTGGGTCCTTTTGTTAATTACCATCAAATACAACTTACACAATTGAATTCAGCCTTTATTTAATTATATTAATTTATCCCAGCAACTTCAAATACCCACAATGCCAATGATAAAGTTCATTTAAAAAATACAGGTCTTATTTAATTTTTATTCTTCAACCACCAAAACTCTTTACAAGTTTGTCATCTGAGAAAGTTTAGCTCCATCTCAGGCCTGGGATGTTAAGAAAATGTTTTAAATATAGATAGATCTGAAGTGAGAAGATGGTGGCTGAAATCTCTTCTCTAGATAAGATGATTAATCTAATACTGTGCAATAGGAGTGTTTGTGATGGTGAAATGTTCTATATTGGCTCTACCACACAGTAACTATTACCTACATATAACTATTGAGCTCTTGAGATGGAGCCAGCACCATTGAGGACCTGCTTTAAATTTTCTCTAATTTTATTGGATTTCCATTAAATGTGTCACAGTTGGTTAGTACTGCCATATTAGACAGTACAGGTCTATAGTATATTCCAAGGACAGAGAAATGCAGTGGGCCATTGACATGGTGGGTGGAGAATGAATAAATACATCATTATGATAGTTATTATTTGGAAACCCACACTTTCTACCCAGTTTTTTTAAAAAAGATACTGTTTTCTGAAACAGCACAAAGGAGATCAACATCTTTAAGGGGAGGTTTGTAAGCTTACCATGGAGAGAACTAACTCCATCTTGGAGAGAAATGGCCATGACTGGTATCTTCTCAATAGCAGAACCAATCTCACTTAGCAACTCTGATGGCCAACTAGGCGGACCAGATCTCAAAAAGGAGAGCCATTCAGCTATTGCTAGCCTTGCGTCTGCTCTAGTTAAGGTATATTCTTCCTGAACTTGTGAGCACTGAACCTGGAGGTACATTTAGACAGTTAGTATGGACCCACAGATGGCCCTCTCTGATCTCACAGACATTGAGACCCAACCTAGTTTTCTTTCATTAAAATGACTCAGACTCTGTCATCTTCCTTGCAAAGGTTGTTATTTCTGTCTTTTTTTTTTTTTCTTGGAACCTGGGATTGAACTTGGGTCCTTGCACTTGCACAGCAGGTGGCGAAACCACTGAGCTAAATCCCCAGCCCAAAGGTTGTTCTTTCTTTTGATTCAGTCCAAACCCTGTAACAGAGCATCGTGAAAGTCTATCAACTATAAATGCCATTGTTAATGAGATTGCTCAGTCTGGTGGATCCTTCTAATACCAGTGACTAAAGAGAAATCTATCCGCCAAGGAATCTGATTATGGTTAACCAAGCTAGAGAGGGGTGAGGTCAGGTGAATGGAGGTAGAAAGTTTTATGAAATTCTCATTAAGTGAAAATGTCTTATCCCAAGTCTACTGACTCTTCAGCTGGCTAGGTTGAGCTGGAGATTTGGGCTAATGCTCCCTTCATCTTGTCTCCAACCATGCTCTGCTGCTCTTCCCTTCCTTCTGAGCTGTGGTTCATCTAGTGAACATGAAATTTGTCCTAATAAACATAACCCAAACTTTTTGGGTTGTCAGACCATTCCATTCTCTTCACGGTTGGCCTACAGACAATCCAAGTTAAGGCTCCTTGAAGACAACGATATCCATCCAGTGATTGAAGCATCCTGGAAGTGTTGCCAGATCCAGGCCTCCTTCCCTAGTCAGAGATAAAAGCAATCGTGAATTGCTCAGTGAAAAAAATTAAAGATCTTCTCGTTATAGATGATCATCTCTGATGATGAAGATGCAAGACAATGAATCAATTTTTTTCTTTTTTAAAACAGCCAGCAGTCAGTGAAATAAGTTGTGAGAAGCAGAGACATCCTACATTCTTTCAGAGAGCTTTCTTCCCTCCTACACCAGGAGCAGAAATGCAGAAGGGTCTGCTTCAAGAAATACAAATGCTCTTTAACTCCCTTGGGCCAGAACTGTGGTGACCAAAATTCTCTTTTTCTTCTGACATTGGCATTCATCGTTCATCCACAGGGTGGACTTCGTCAAATCGCCACAGCTGGCTGGCTTTTCCATCACACTTACTCAAGAACAGATCTTTATTGTTCTGCTGAACCACAGCTTCCATGCATTTCCCAGAAAGAATGTGGACAATCATTCCATTCTGAAAAAAGATGAGGGGGAAAATAAATAATGAAAGAAAAAAAAAGAAAGAAAAGTCAGACCATTTCCAAACGTCAGCAAAGATGGATGTTTTCAAGATTTGTGCTGATTGTTAAGACCATTAAAGAGGTGGTGTGAAATGGCTTGGAAAGGAGTAGTAGTATTTTGGATTAATATAAATATAATTTAAGTAACCCTAAAATTTGGATGTCACTCAAAGCCTTGAGGATCATTAATGCAGTTATTTTTATTGCAGTTGTATAACTGCCATTTCTTAAGAAGTTTTGGTTAGGACAATTCCAGGGCAAAGAGAATATTCAGTCCTTTTGCTTTCTTTGTGACATTCATTGTTATCACTGTACTCATAAATTTCTACTTTCAAAGAGATTTAGTGGGCTCTCTGTTAATCCTGCAATTTAGTGCTGAAGCCACCAGGTTGCAGTGGAGAGTAAGACCGACAAGGATATACAAGAATGGAACCCTAAACCAGCCATGTTCAGGAGACTACAACTGTTGCCTGCTCTAAATCCACCAGATTTAATATTGAACTTAACATTCCCTTTTCAAGAAAAATTTGATTTCTTTATGAAATTAACCTTAGTCAGCAAAGCTGAACATATCTATTTATTTATTTTTGAGATATACTGTAATATAGCTCTTTTAAAATATACAAACTCATGGTTTTTAGTACATTCACAAAGTTGTGTAACTATTGTTGATCTAATTCCAGGCTATTTTCATTATTGCCAAAAGAAATCCACTCCCATTAGCAATCAGTCCCCATTTCTCTCGCTTCCCAGCCACTAAAGATCACTAATCTATTTTCTGTGTCACGGATCTGCTTATTCCGGACACTTCATATAAATAGTTGTAGAATATGTGGCTTTTGATAACCAGCTTCTTTCATTTTGCATAATATTTTCAAGATTTATCCATGTCATCGCATAAATTAGTACCTTAGACCTATCTTCTTTCCTTTCATTATGGCAAAAACACAAGAAAACTTATTGCCTTAACCATTTTTAAGTGTAAAGTGTAATAGTGTTAAATATATTGACAATTATTGTAAAACAGACTTCTGGAACTTTTTCATTGTACAAAACTGAAACTCTATACCCATTAAACAACAATTTTACCTTTTCTTCCTTCAACTGGCCCCTGGTAGCCACCAGCCTGTTTCCTGTTTCTATGAATATGACTACTTTAGATATGCTTATAAGTTTTTGTCTTTTTGTAACTGGCATATTTCCACCTAGTGTAATATCCTCTAGATTCAACCACATTGTAGCATGTGACAAAATTTCCTTTCTTTTAAAGGCTGAATAATATTCCATTATATGGAATTACTTCCAGGATGTAAGTTATCCCTGCCCAAATAATACACATTACACTTAGAATAAATGTGTATCTACATTTTATCTATGCATGCATGGACATTTGGGTTTCTTACAGCTCCAGGCTGTTATAAATAGTGGCACTATGAACCGTACCTCATTCCTTTATCTGTCTGAACGATAATACCTTTTTTTTTCAGCCAGTGTTTTGCTATATAGTTCACTATGTAGCCCACCCAGGCTGGCCTTGAACTCTTAGTGATCCTCTTGGCCCAGTCTCCTGAGTGCTGGGATCACAGGTGTGCGCCACCACACCCAGCGCGATAATACCTTTTTGGTCTTATTTATTAATACCTCAGATTTTCTAGGTGCATCTTACCAATCTTTTTTAAAATATTTTATTTTTATTAGTAGATGTTTGCAGTATATAATGGTCACATTTCTCATGGGGAGTTGGTCCATGTACATAACACATCTTAATTCCTTTTTATCGCTTTCCCTTCCCTTTATCTCTTGGTCCCCTTCCCTTTTCTTTTACCTATTTTAAACTACTATTTCTAAAATGTATCTTAACCACAGGGCTTTCTTAGAATGATCTTTTATGATCACCCAAAAAGCACCTCGATTTTTGAAGACTTCTTGGCACATGTGTGGGTCCCCGAGTCCTGGGTTTGCATGTCACTGAAGCCCTAAGAACTTTATTGTGAGCTCAGCTTGTTTTCTATTATGTGATTCTCTTTTTTTATGGTCTGCTTTAAGAGTACCAGAGTTTTACTTAGTTATTTTATCCTCTTTACTCCCAAGCAAAAGTTGAAGGAAGAATTTTTAAAAATCTGTGTATTTGTTTAGATAGTAATGCCTGAACTCAATCCAGAAAGGATTTGAAGTGGAGAAAAGCTACACATGGACACTCATTGTGAATCCTGTCCCATCCCTTCCCTACTCCTGTGTGTGGGACTTGCCCACTCTCCCTAAGTACTTACGACTCTCCTAATTCCTCTCTGTTGATGCATAACTGCTGGAAAGGATCTAGAATTTTTCTCCCCCAGGAATACAGAAGTCAAAATTTTGCTAAAATACTGAAATGCTCACAGTGAATTTGCATTAAAAAGAACATATCTATATATCTATATCTACACATCTACATCTAAATGTTTTTTAAATTTTGGTGGACACAGGGACTTTGCATTGTCCCTAAAACCACACCACCAGGGTAATGGACCATTTCTGTGACATGCTCCACTATCCTGTGTGTAACCCAAGCTAATTAACTTTAAAAATGGGTCAATCCCTCTCTGTAATAATCAAAATCAGAGCTATACAGAGATGGGGCAAATTAGTACACGTCATGATGCTCATGGCTTAACTTCCCTGCTGAGTTGTCTCTACATCCTCCTGAGGCCTTAATGCTGTGCCACTAAGTTTGACAATAGGGGCACAGGCAGATAAAAATATCTGATCTCTTGGAAGAACCTGGATGCGGAGCCAGCAGAAGTTCTTCCTGACCAGTAGCACTGCTGAGTCTTCCTGAGTGATCACTTACCTCCTGGAAATCCCAGTGCTGCTGATGGGTGGCAGCGCCTTCCTCGGTGCAGTTCTGAAGAACCACCTGCTCTTGCCTGACGTCCAAGCACAGGTGCTGTGGGCTGCCGAAGTGGATCTCCTTCCTGCCGGTGTGCTCCAGGTGCTGGGGCAGAGGTAGTGGTGGTTAGCACAGCTAGAAAGAGGCCTTCTCCAGAGCTGGAGGTGAGGCAAAAGGAATTCACAGTAGAACTGAGGTCTAGGGGCCATCTGTAGGTTCTAGGGTAGTCAGTGAGACTGTACCTGATGGTCAAGACCACAAACATGCTGCAAGATGAGTCCTGGTTCTGAAGTCCCACATTCCAGCTGCCCTGTGTTCACATTCATACATTCTGGCAAGTCCCTCCATTGTGTTACTTACTGGATCATAGGTGAAGGTGTATAGGTTGCTGTGTGTTTTGCAAGCATACTGTTGGAAGGGCAGAGGAACCTTTCTGAGGCCCAAGTTGATCTTTTCTGGAAAGATCTTAAAGATCCCAAACTTATTTTCCTGCTGCCACTGGTTATCTACTGACTCTCGCTCCTAGTTATTATTGTCTTCACGGTTTTGCAGTATTGGGTTTGCAGAGGGGTTTTAACTGTGAGAAGCCCGTGCAGACTAATTGGAAGCCATGTCCTGCAGAACCCTTTGGTGTTCGTTCCTGTCAGATGGAGCCTGAACTGATTTTTATTTTAATGTTGTGGCTTAGAGGCAAGATTGATTTCATGGATATACAACCTGTCCACTCACATGGGGCTTCCTGCTAAGAAGGGTTTAATGCTTTTGCTTCAATAAAACTGATTTAATGCTCTGCTGTCACTGTCTTGAAATTATTAATAATTGTCCAATTAGAGATGCCACATTTTTGTTTTGCACTATGGTCTGCAAATTAAGCAGCCTGCCCTACTCAAAGATTCCCAAACTACACAATTAGTATACATTTTGACCCCAACACATATTGAAGGCAAGCTTGTGGACAGTTTTCAGGGGACAGTAATTTTTTTCGTACTTAACCCCTGTGTAGACAGGGCTCTTTGCCATTTCCCTGTGGCAGTACATAGATATTTCTAGTTAAAAATTTCAAGGACAGGTTACTCTTTGAAGGGCAAACCTGGATTTATAAGGGAGTCTCATTTCTGGCTTCTCACATCCTTGGGCTGAAGGTGAGCTCTCACTGCCTATCCCTGCATGGATTCCAGAGGCCAATGGCGACAATCCCCTCCACCTGGCAGGCCAGGCCAGCTCACGCCCTGGGCTCTGTTTTTGCCTCTTGGCTTTTGATCCCTGGAGATTTTACTTTCTTTTGTGGAAACTCAATTACTTAAGCATGAAAAAGGTTATTTCATATTCTTTTCCCAGCATATCGTATCTAGGTGTTTTGAGGGAAAGGCTTTCAGTTTCTCGAGTTCACATTATGGCTGGATCACTGATCTCCCCTTCCCCAAAAGAAAGAAGGTAATATTGTGTTTTCATGATGGAGGCCATACCATCCCCACTTACAGATGAGGAAACTGAGGTTCAGAACAGTTAAGAACCCTGCTGAGATCTCACAGCTAGCAAGTGGGGGAACTTGTATTGAAACGTAGCCACTGGTGACAGTACCTCATGCTCAATTTTCACACCTAATCTTAGCTTCATCACTTAGTACTCCCTTGAGCCCCTTGAGTCTGAATGCCTATAGGAATATTCAGGGAGATTGGTAAAGGGCAGAGTCAGAAGAGCCCGTCCTTCCCTGCACTGCAAAGCCCAGCCTTGACCTGGCCCCCTCTGAAGGGCCTGACCCACACCTTCCATGAAATGGTCCCTCCCTTAGCCCAGGCTCTCCAGACCTCACCTGCCCCCTCCAATAAACACCTCCAGAAATGTTTTCATTAGGAGCTTTTGGGATGGAAAGTTTAACTCAGAGGTCCCTACCACAGCCTGAAGGCATAGAGATTTGGGGACAGTTTGCACTTGGTAGGTTTTCTACTGAGTTGTCAAAAAAAGTGGACCCACTAATGCTCAGCTAGCATCAAAGGAGGCTTTCTACTACCTCAGGCAGTTATAACCATGATGAAAATTTTGAAGAGTGCAAGAAATACCCCAAGATAATAGGGAGATCTTTCTAATGAACAAAGGGATACTACTTGGATGCTAGAATGACCCTGCTGCATCTAGATCCTTCCCCATGACTCAGCTACCTGCCTCTTCCTCCTCTCAGACCCTTGGACCCTGCCTCAGCTCTAGAGACATCGATCAGATCAGCAATGCCTGAATTAGTGATTCTGTGCCTCAGTTACTTCATCTGCCAAATGGAAGTGTTGGCAAAAGGGCTTTCCCATTTCTCTCTAAATGCTTCATTCTTTTATCCTGGTCCTTGTCTGTGCTTTAACAGGGGGTGAGGTGTGCAGAGCTGTGACAAATAATCATGCTGGGGAACTATGGACAGTTAGGAGACATGGAATCACAGACAGGAAATATAGCAAAGAGAAGTGGAGTAGAGCCCGGAAAAATGGCACCCATTCGAAAAGCTTCCTTGGGCTGTTATCCATGCTGAGAAATATGATCACCCACCTGTTGCTTCCTACTGTCATTGCAAGGAGCCAGAGTCATGGGACAACCCAGGATGTCCCTGTCTGCTTGGCAGTCTGCACAGAAGCCAAGCCCAGAGTTGTGGAGCTGAAAGTGGACAAGCACACAGAAGTGAATCCCAGTGTTCACGACCTCCATTGTAAAAACATCCTGAGTCAGGAACCATTGATCTCTCCTGCCTGGAATGTAGCCCAAGGTGCACTGTTCAGGTCATAATGGATGGGGTCAACCTGAAGCCACTGATTTTTAAGGGACAAGCCTCCTGAAGGAGACAGGCCACATTTGTCCTGTTGAGGAACTCTGGGATAGGGCAACCTAACCACCTTCTTCAGGCTGGCATGGAGTTAGGGCATGAGCTGAAGGCCTCCAAGGCCCTTCTGAGCTCATGATTGGTTGGCCAGGGTAATGGAAGAACATCTGAATGTACAGTTCTTGTTTTAGGTGGCTTCCCTCTCCCATCCTTCCTTCCAGTCTTCCCTGGGTCATGCCTTGCCTTTCCAGAGAACCTGGGTCTGTGTTCAGATGGGTATAGCTTGGGATAGATGTTGGCCAGAAACCAGTGGAAGGTCCGACAACCAAGTCTCCTTTGCAGCTGCAAGCGTTCCATGCAGTCTGGCTTTTCAACCTGGGGGAGGAGAAGGATATCAGCAGTGAAATAATGAAAGCTTGTTTCACTGCAAAATCCACGTAGTAGGGGAACGGCAGGGATGGCTAGGAGGAACCAAGGATTGGGACAGAGTGAGGAGCCCAAGATCACAGTTCTCAGGGCCTACAGACATGGGGGAGGCTCATGAGTTGGGAGAAGAGGTTTTGAAAGGACAGAGTAGGACAGGTCTTCCTAAAGAGAACTGCGGCACTAGCACTGCTGTGATATCACCTCCTCCCAAAGCCTCCTAGAGCTTCATCTCCAGTGACTGTGATGTGCATGCTTTCAAGACTTCGATGAAAGCTGGAAAAAGTGATGGAGCTTTGCACCTAGGTTTGTGTAATGCAGAACTTTATTTTTAAATTTTTTACTTTTTTGCAGTTCTGGGACTGAACCCAAGGCCTTCATACCGAGCTATATCCACCCTTCATTATTTTTGTATTTTTGAGACAGGGTCTTGCTAAATTGCTCAGGCTCAAACTTAGGATCTTGTTGCCTTAGCCTCCCAGAGGGCTTGATTTATAAGAGTGCATCATCACCCGCTGCATGGTGCCGAACCTAGATGGCCCCATGGAGACAAGAACTGGCCAGAAGCAACTGAGATAAAGTGACTTGCGAAATTGTGGGGTAGGGACCAAGAGAGCCAAGTTTCTTTTTCTTTTGCTCTGGGTGCCCAATTTCCTCCATGAATTAATCATTTGTTTGCTACAATATCCCCTCATCTTGAAATTCTTCTTTATAATACAACTGTATTCTTATGGACATCGAGGCAATTCCCTAACACTAGTAAAAATTAATGCTTTGCCTATATTGGCAAGATACAAAAAAACACTGCTCAAAAGTTTAGTTTGAAGTCCTGGATATTTTTCGGAAAGAGAGAGGTTCTAAGGAAGCTTTGGAATAACCAAAGGCCCTCCTCCCCAATTATTTTTTCCTGACAGGAAGAGAAGAAGAGAGATGTCCATGTCAGAGTCCATCTTGATGGCCTCTTACCTGGCAATAAGACATTGGCTCACTGGGCTATGCCTTTACCCTGTCTGAGTCCTCAGACGGAAATGTTGGGAAGAGGAAGGTCTGAGTGTGGTGTTATGCTGACTCCCTGGCCATGTTCCTCAGAGTGTGTTTTCCTGGGCTCTTGCCTAGGCCCTGCCCCAGAGATGGTGACTCAGATGGTTGGGCTGATGACCCTGCAATCTGCATTTTAACCATTTCTAGTCTTCCCCGTGGATACTTTGAGAACAACCTCTTTAAGTCCAGAATTTCTTGTTTATTTAGCATATTTACCCGCCGTTAAGCCAAAGAGGTCAAGTATTGCTTTTTCCTCTGAGGAAATTGCCATGAAGTTTTTGTTTTGTTTTGTTATTTGAGGATTTCTTGGCATTGTTAGTGTTTATTTGCAAACTTGCCAGTATCTCCTGGTGCTAGACTTTGTTGCCAAAGCAGGAACATTCCCTTGTGTGAACTCTATCACCTTCGTCTTCTTTTTTTTTTTTTCACCTCCACTTTTCTTAATGATGAGACAAATAACAAATCTATCCTACTCTCTGTGACCAGTAAGAACACTGAACTTTGCCCTATCTGGGAAACTATGCCTGGGAGAGATGTGAAGTCCCCCAGCAGTGGGTTCCCAGGATTTGTGTATCTTAAAATCTATGTGAGGGCTTGGAAAGGTTAGAAATCTTTAGAACAAAACCAATTTTTGATAGTTAAATGTAAGGTAAATGCTCTCTAACACCTTCAGGAAGGCAAAGATGTCCCTGAAATGTTGAAATCAAACTAGGTGATAAGACATTTCCAAAATATGAATCGTGTGTGTTTGTGTGTGTGTGTGTGTGTGTGTGTGTGTGTGAGAGAGAGAGAGAGAGAGAGAGAGAGAGAGAGGAGATAAATATCTTCCTAGTGACTAGTAAATGTGCCATCCTCTTAAGTCCTCTTAAACCTAGTATCTAGTTGGTACTTTATATTCTCCAAAGCACCCTTTCACATTTTATTTAATTGTACCTAAACTACTTTCCCAGAATTTCTAGCTTCTAATGCTAAGAACCAACGCTTAGGTCCAGTTTAATCATTTTTTTTTATCATCCACTTGTTTCATCAATGGATATTTATGGAGCCCTTCCTACATACCTGAGATTGAATCAAACATTGGAGATTTTAACAGTAAGCAGAATAATTACTCTCCCTGCCTTTGCTGAGCTTGTAAATCTCTAAAACATTTATTGAGAACCATCTATATGCCAAAAACACATCGCTGCCTCCCCACAAAGTCAGAACCACAGAGAAGAGAAGTTTTACCTGCTATTCCCAGAAAGGAGAGGTGTGAAACTTGAGGATTCGTGTTTCCAGGTGTTAGGGAGCTGGGAGGCAGAATATAAACTAGCTGAGCTAGTTCTACTCCTGGGTCTATTTCTGGATCTCTCCCTACTTTTCTTTGGCCCCATCTTATAGGGCCTCAGTTTTTTATTTTGTAGAATGAAAGGCTTGGGTGAACACAAACAAGTACCTTTTAAATCTCCTAATCATCAACCAGATAAGCAAATAGAGTTTTCTCAAAAGCAGGCCGGTCAGGCTCTTAATCGGGTAGCATTATGGGAGTTCCCAATTTCTGAAATTGCCTGGAACCAAGTGCATATTCACTGGCACTTTTAATTGCACCAACTTAGTGAGGAGAAGGTTGAAAGTCTGCAAATAATTTACATGCTGTTGAACCATGCTGGCTAGAGCCACATACTGTGTTCTAGTGAGCCTGACTGCCAGGTTAGCTCAGTTCATCAGAAGCTATGCTATATTTGACACTTCTTTAAAAGTTCTTTAGAAATGAAGTCTGAATCAACATTAAGCAGGTGTCCTCTAAAAGCAACGAGCAGATACTGAACTGACATTCCAAGAGAGAAAAAAAAAATGCTTTGGTCAAAAGAAAGGAAAGAAATGAAAAGCCAGGGCAGCTCTGTGGACATTTGTAGAAGTTGGTAGAATGTTACAGCTCCCTGTTGCCAAACGGGGACTGACGTTAGGAGCTGACCTTGCTAAGTGGGAGCAAACTCTTGTTGTATCTTTAGTGAACAGACTCTTCCCTTAACTACTCCTGGGATGTTAGAGTTGAACCTGTGCAGCCATAGTTCAAGTATTACCTCCTCCAAGAAAGTGTCCCTCCACGGTCCTGTCTAGGATACATCACTCTCATCTTTGTGGCCATTGTTCCCCCTCAGGGAGCTCCTGCCTCACAGACACCTGCTGACATTCGCCATGGTTCAGCATCCCCTGTAGGACCCACACAAGGCCTGACCAGAACAGATGCTTAGGTGACCTTTGCTGACTTTTAGTAGCCAGACAGGGTCTAACTAGTGCCCTGCACTCTTCTAAGTGTTTTTGATATATTAATTTATTAAATCATCCTAACAACATTGGGAATGCTCAGTAAGTGAGGAAGTAGAAGTACTGAGTGATTAAGTAACTTCAGGATCATATATCTAAAAAGCCAATATCAAACCCAGATAATTTTGTCCTCTGGGAATGAAGAATGGTCTCTTGCCTGTCTAGCCCTTAGGCATGAACCGAGACTTTGTGTATAATGAACATTTTTCTCCAGTTAAAGAAACAACCTTGAAGTTCAAGGAACCCAAACACTTCAGGTTGTGGAGATTGTTCTGCTGAAGGGAAGGAAGTGGATCTAGGTGGGAGGGAGCAAACTCTGAGGACCAAGGAGGAAAGTGAGTCCCCTGTCAGACTTCCCTGCACCCGGGAAAAGGCCTGGTATGGCATGTTACTCCTTTGATAGGCCCAGCCCTCATCCATGACATGCGACCTCACATCCAGCTCATACCCAGTAGCACTGGCTGGCAAGAGGCTTATAGGAGCTGCTCCAGGACTGCCATGCATCCTGGGAATCTTACCTTTGGAGCCTCCACTTCCAACACAGCTAACATTGCACTTATGTGTCTTTCTGTAAGAACTGATGATGCATTTTGTGGATATTTAATTACAGATTTAGAAGTTTAATTTTTCTGTGGCTATTTTAGCCTCTCTATTTAGTTTATATTTATGTTTGTTTCCTGTCTTAGGTAATCCCATAGCCTTGAGCACTTTGATCAAGAAGAAAGGGCCCTTGGGGACCCGTCCCACTGTTTATCTGTGTTCTGTCTCTCCTCTGGACCCATGGTAAAGGTTGCATCCCATGGATTCCATTCTATATTCACTAGGAGTTCTAGGCCAAGCTCAGCTGTGATGTTTTGATGCTCAGCAGCCACTTGAGAGGGGACAACTCAAGGATGCCCAAGCTGGAAGCTTCTACTTTTCTTCCAGGCAGGAGGGATGTCCTCCCTGACCCAGTTTCCAGCTGGTGACCCTACAATGGTTACAGAAACCCCCACCTAGCTCTCTCCTTACCTTGCTCAAGGTGAAGGCCTCTGGGCTATGTCTGTAGAAAATTTCTTTGAATGGCCCCAGCCAGGTCTCAGCAATGCGGACCTTGTTCCGAAGAGTGGCCTCCTGGTCAAGGGGAAAGTGCGCATCCTGATTTCGGTAGACATGCCCCACCCGAGAGCAGGGAAGGATTTCAATGGAGCCACCACAGAGCCAGGCCTGCCATGAAGAGAGAAGGTAAACAATTCTACCTCTACTTCCTAGAACAATTGGAAGAAAAGGAGTCTGTCCATGAGGGCTGGCACAGGAAATCATAAACACAAAATGGTCATGGTCATCAGAAGCTTTAGAGTGGAGCTTTCAGATCTGGGAGTTTGGGCAGGGGAATGGCAAGGTGGGAAGAATAGGGTATTTATACCAGGATGGATCTGAGGGGCAATGAGCCCGTCCATGGATCTACCTAAATGTGCCACGTTTGAAATGCATGTGCAGATCCACCACTTACAGAGATGAACCACCCATTGGAGATTAGTATCCCTACTCCCCAGAGAGTGCTTCCCTGGGGACAGAGGTGCCTGTGGTGGTCAGGGACTTTCTAAAAGCCTGTGAAGCCTCATGCTATGTACTCAGAGCTGCATGTGGTGAAGATGAAAGTGAGCCTTCCTTAGGAGCCCTCATGACATCAAGAAGGTCCTCCCTGTTCCCTAATATTTCTTTCCATTCAACAAATGCCTGACCTTCATTGGGCAGGAAGTTTTTTGGTCCAAGTTTGGGACAGAGGCTAAAATGGAAATAGCTCTAAGAAAAGCAGCCCATGAACTGAAAGACAAAAAGGCTAGGCTTTTCAAACCCTTGCCAAGGTGCCCAGGGCACCTCAAAGAACTCAAAGGATATTTTTGAGTTTTTTGAGCGAAACAGTGACATCTGTTGGACATTGTGCAAACCACAAGCCTGATGTAATTCGTACTTCAACATTAGCTAGATCTCTGCACTTTTGAGGATGGATGTCTTTGCTGGGTTAAGCTTTTGGAGAATGCTGTGATGAAAAGAAAGTATTATGCTAAAATCAATGTGGAACAGAAGATGGGATTGGTGGGTGTCCAATCTAATACCAAGGTTTAGAAGTACAGCAATGGCCTGCATGTGGTAAGTTGTTAGGATAAATACTTATTAGGTAGTTTGGGCTAAATTATTGAATACACAGGATAGCTTTATATTTGGCCTATGGATGTTAAAAAAACTACTGAGATGCCAACTAAGGGTGCTAGGAACAGAGAATGCTTGAGAAGCTGTGGAATTTCTGCTCTGAGGTGTAAATATGCCCTTTTCTGATGGTAGGTTCATCCTTCTTTCCCTTTCTTCCTTCCGTCCCTTCCTTTCCCCTCCCTTCCTTTCTTTGAGACAGGGTCTTAGTCTGTAGTTGAGGCTGGCCTTGAACTCACTATGTAGCCCAGGCTGGCCTTGAACTTACAATCCTCCCTCAGCCTCCCAAGTGCTGAGACTATAGGCATGCACTACTGCACCCTGCCTAAAAGCACATTTTGAAAATAAAGTTCATGAGGTACAATGAGAGTAAAATCAAGGTAGAACACAAGAGAGTTGGAAAGGGGGGAGTAATGGAATGTGTGACCCACCTCTCTGCAATGACTATGATTTACCCCCAGCCTCAGCCCCTACCCATGGTATTTCTGACCATGGTATTTATTGGTTGCTTCCAAGCTGTGTCCACACACTCTGTCCCAGAGATCCCACTTGGGTCCTTCCTTGGCTCAGGACATACCTTAAAGGATAGTTCGAGGTTTTCTCCACCCTTCAGTGACATGAGAGGGTCATACGCTCCAGTGTTTTGGAAGTAACGTCTGTCCATGGCCACCACCTCTCCGGGTACCACTGGGCTCCTGGACAGAGAAGACAGGCAAGAGACTGAAGTTCAGAATGCGGAGCATAGCAGGTGCAGTGGCGAGCTGGAGGTTTCCTAGGTGGGAGCTCCAGTGGTTGAGAGGGTGGGCTCTGGGCTCAGATAGATCTCAACATCTTTAATTGCAAGACTGGAGCAAAGCAACGATGTCAGAAATGCAAGTGTTTCATGAAAAGAGAACTAAGGTTACCTGGGCCTTTTTTCCCTCTGCTCAGGCATTGCTCCTGTAGAGAGGGCATAGGTCTATACCCAGCACTCCCAGACGCTCCAGCTCCAGGCTTTCTGGAGAGATGTTTGGAAGAAGGGCCTTGGCTAAAATTAGACACTCTAAGGAGGTAGTGCCAGGCCAGGCAAAAGGACACCGTCAAGATGTTTCCTCCTCTCTCTTCCCTCACCCTCTTCTGCTTTCTACATGACTGATCATCCTCCCCTCCCCAATTCTAAGATTAATCCACCAGGGACTCTGGAAGTAGAAAGGTCTCCACCTACCCTGGTGGAAATACACGTGACTTATAAGCAAAACAAACTATACACGTGACTTATAAGCAAAACAAACTAGAAACTCTGAATAAGAAAATTAGGGTTAGCAATTAAATAGTGTTACATTAACAAGGCCTTTAGGTTGTTAAAAATATCAAGTTATACTAGAATACTGAAAATCCATATGACAATATTAACTGACAAAATCTCTACCTGTGCCACTCACCGTTTGTAAGATCTTGGGTGAGACATGTACCTCTGATTCTCTGAGCTCTGTTTCCTCATCTCATTTGGAATAAAATGTTCCATAATTGGTTTGTGGGGATTAAAAATAATTCATAAAAAGTGCACAGCATTCTGCATGTCACATTTTAAATGCTCACTACATTTTGGGGGCTGGAGGTTTACTATTCCTTCTCTAAAACTCATGGGGCCAATATGTTTTTTAATTCTGAAGTTTCCTAATTTTAAAAAGGTGCACATGTCATCCGCTACATATCAGCCCTGGAAGGGTCTGGGCAGCACTCTAGTCAAACTAGATTCAGTGAAATATGAATTTTCACAGTAAGTGAGATAAATGAAGCCTGTGTGGATGCCTGTGTCCGTTCAGGGTAGCATCTTCTGCTAAGGGGTTATGAAAAAACTGCTTGCTTTTCAGAGCTCTTTAGATTTTGTGACTATGGATAACAGACTATGGACTTGTATTTAAAATACAATATAGCATAGCAGCAAAGGACCTGGTAGATTCAGTTTTAACTCTGGACCTACCTCTCATTAGCTTTATGATGTTGGGGAATGTATTTCATCTGCATGTGCCCCAGATACTGTGGAGACAGAGGCAACCAATCCTACTGGGTCCTTTCAGAATCCATGACCCATAGAATCTGAGAACTTAATCAAATGACTGTTTAATTTTTCTTCACTAAGTGTGAGGTGTTTGTTATTTGACAGAAGGTATCTAGAACAGTTACTTAAATAGCTGTCCAAAAACCAAGTATGTGAGAAGTGACCAGTAAAATTGGATATATTTTGAGACTTATAGTGCCCTAGCATTCACCCAGCTAAATTCTTTATTTCTGCTGAGCAAACTTGTGGCCAAAGAATTGCCAGTGTTACCTGGTGAGAGAGGTGGGTCAGGGTCTGGCTCAGCTTCTTCCTCTTTCCTGCAATGGGGCATCCACTGAAACTAGAAAAACTTCACTGATTTCACTGACCTAACAAAGATAATAACGCCTAGCCCTGAGAGCCTGGAGTCCTCTAAATGCTATTCATATATTAATGCTTTAAGTTTTCACAACAGTCCTATGAAGTAAATACTGTAATTACTGTCAATTCACTGATGAGGAAAGTGAGACACAGACTCAGGAAACATGTGGAGAAAGTGTGGTGCCAAAGGCAAGCCAGGCTGGCTCACCAGGCTCACCTGATGGGGCTGATGGGGGACTGGAGGGCCTTCCTTTCATGCTCTGGCAAAGGTTCCCAGAAGAAATCCAGATTCCAGTCCAATACCCCACGCTGCAGCTCCTTGGAGGGATAATATTGGAAAGTCTTCCAGTCAATCACATCTATGACCGGAGATACCACACGGCTTCTGGGAAGAATTGAGAAATCAAAGGATACAAGCCATTCAATTGCTGGTGTATGAAAATAAAATTTATACGTGTGATGTCCAACATGGCAGTCACCAGCTACTCATGCCTATTGGGCACCTAAAATGTGGTTTGCTTGAATTAGGATGTAAGTATAAAATACACACTGAACTTAGAAGACTTTGAATGTAGGCTGTAAAAAAATACTCGATTAGTTTTTATATTGGTTACATGTTCAAATGATATTCTGGATATATTGGGTTTACTAAAATATATTATTAAAACTAATTTCATCTGCCTCTTTATTTTGTTTTTTTTCCTTCTTTTTATTTTGTAATGTGACTATTAACTTTTAAATTACACATGTGGCTCGTGGTATATTTCTGTTGTGTCTCACTATCCTAGAAATTATATTTTTCCATAAGGAATTGGGCCCCCTTTCACTAAAGAGTATACCTGCTCCATTCTTTCTTTAAAAATCTCTTGGGGCTGGGGATTTAGCTCAGTGGTTACACTGCCTGCCTTGCAAGTGCAAGGTCCCGAGTTCGATCTTCGGTACCAAAAAAAAAATCTCTTGACAGCATGAGAGGCAAAGAAGTGGGGTTCTATGGCCCAGGGATTTAGCTCAGTGGTTTCACCCTGCCTCACAAGCACAAGGTCCTGAGTTTGATCCCAGGTACCAAAAAAAAAAAAAAAAAAAATAAAAAAAAAAAAAAAAAAAAAAAAAGAAGTGGGGTTCTAGGCTCAGCTCTGGCACCAATGAGCTGTGTGACCTCAAGATAGCAATTATACCTTTCTGGGCCCCAGTTTCCTCATTTGTAAAGTGGGAGGTTAAACTACTTCCCACAAAGGTCTTTCTCAACTATAATACTCTAGGACCATGGCTACTAATCTCTATTTGTTTATTTGTTCTATCTATCTATCTATCTATCTATCTATATCTATCTATCTATCATCTATCTTTTTGAGACAGGTCTCAATATGGAGCCCAGGCTGGCCTTGAACTTGTGATCCTCTTGCTTTATTTTAATTTCTTTTGACGTCTTTGATCTCTTTGAGAATCAGGTGAAACCATAGACCTTGATATGGATATTGAGGAAAATGCTCATATGCCCATATACAAAAATATTGTGCACAATGTCATATGCCCTATGGATTCCTACTGTAAGGTCTGGCTCCTGTTCCTTTCCTGCATCATAAAACTTGATTGGTTTGAGAAGTCAGGATTACCAAGCCCAAGAGGTGTAGCCAATGTTAATGCATTTCTATATGAGCGCGAGGTGTCTATAAAAGGAAAAACAACAAAGTTCTGAATCTAGGTTTATTTGCTCATTTCCTGCTGCTGTTGGAGATTATATTTTATCCTGATTTTTTTGAACAGCCTGGCAATATGTTCTCAGAGAGAGTGAGTGGGAAATTGGCACGGTTTGAAACTTTAGCCATCAATGAAGCAAGTTATCGCTCAAGTGTTCCAGAAGCTGCTCTCCACTGCTCAGTGTCTCAATCACATTTTTTTTTTTTTTTTTGGTACTGGGGATAGAACTCAGGTCCTTGCACTTGCGCAGCAGGTGACAAAACCACTGAGCTAAATCCCTGGCCCTCAATCACATTTTTATTCTACCCCCTTACAGCAGCAACTCTGGAAATCTGTGCTATGGACTGGATCCAGCCTGAACTGAGGGCTTGCTGAGGGTACCACTCTTAGAGAAGTGAGATTCCTGAAAGGAGCTATACACACGTTGGTCTCCATCTCTGTTCTCTGCATCTTGAAGAGAGCCAGGGCTGAAGCAAGCCCACATCAAGTAGAGAGGGCCAGGGTGGTCCCAAGAATCAAAGACCTGCTTTATCCTGTGGCCTTAAGTGACTAATGCTAGTTTAGGGAGTCCTGAAATCTATATTTAGGGAGAAGATCCTGATGTCCTTTTCTTGCCCTTTTTACTTTGTTCTACTGGAAGGCAAGGGGAACTCAATCCTTCTGGGTCTCTTTTATTTTGCAGTACCCACGTTGACCTAAGAAAATTGAAGCAAGAATGAAGGAGAAAGGAGGCACCCAAATCCCTCCTAAATCTCCACTTAGTGGGGAACAAATCGGGGAGATGAAATCATTTGCCTATTTACAAAGCATGCTGTGGAATTTCAGAATAGGGAGGCATGGGAACTACGTGGCTGAATTTTGAAGAATTGCATCCAATTTGTGCTGTCTTCATCAATTATAAGAGGACAAGAAAGAAAATCACCTTCAAGCACTCACACAATTGGTTTTCCATGGATTTTTGTGCTTGACAAAGCCATGTATATATTTTTATCAGTAAATGAAAACTCTAAAATCCATCATATTTCTTTTCTTTTTTTTTTTTGCTTTGTATTTCTGGAATCTCAGAGTCATAGATAAAGTTCCTTACAGCTGTATTACTCCTGATTCCCAAGAACATCTTTTCCTTTGTGGAATTTCCTTTTTTCTCTATTTTGAGTGGGAATACACTGATTAGTCTTGAGCCTCCTTGAGTACATTTTGGGTAGAAATGAAGACTAGTGTCAGTGAATGAAGGGAGAGATGTTTTCTGTTTTGGTTTTATTCCCATGGGCCATAGTGGCTGCTTAATCAGGGCTAAATGAGTGAGTAACTGCAGTCTAGTGACTCAAGAAGCGTAGTTAATCACAATTTTAAAACTCACAGTATTATATTTAGCTTTGTTTTTGTACCTACAAATGTGTCTGATGTTCTTGGAATTCACTTAAAGCCAAAGCAAAGCTACCATGTTTGATTTGGAAGGGGCCAGCAGTGTCTGCTCACTCCATGCTTCTCTCACTTGTGAGCAGAGTCTGAACTCCCAGTCAGGGCAAGGCTGAACCTCTGGTAAGCCTTCCAAGTTCCGGAACTCAAGTGTTAGGTTTCAAAAGACATACAGAGGCAGTCCAGCTGTCAACAAAGACTAGTTAACTGAAGTATACCAGGTTAACCAATACACCGCTGTCCAGATATTCAAAGGCTAACTGTGGTTTCAACTTCCCTAACCGAACCTTTCACCACAATGAAGAAAAACCCTACTTTTTCTTGTCTCTATTTTTCCTAGGCCTGGATGTTCCTCAAGGTCTGTTGTACAAACACCATTTTTGAAAGCTTGTGATACTCCTGGATGTTTGTGGAAAGGTTCTTATGCCTGAATTATCTCTTCCTGAGTTTTTGTGACCCTAGAACTGGTATTGACTTTTCCAGGGAGAACTGAGAGAACTCATCCTCTGAGGAGTATGAAGGAGGAGGGGTGCTGCCGAGATTCCTTAGGGCACCAGACCCAGAAGAAGCTGCTCCGGCTGAGGGAGCGAACTCCTTAACACACGCGCACACATGCACGCTCCTGTACTCACACTCACACATATGCACACATGACTGACATACACACACAGACATAGACTCTGCTACTCGCTCAGAAACATGCACATGCAGGGGATTCTCAGACTGTGTTTCATTATCTAACTCCTAAAAGGGCAGAGAGGAAGGAAAAGCTGTTTCTTGCTTCTCCTTGCTTCTCCCCACAGAGCAGGATCAGCCCTGGCTGAGCACTGGGTGACCTTAGGTTTCAGTGTCTCTCAGATAGGGGCCAGTCCAGTCTGCAGTTGGAAGACACTTTGTCCAGCCTCTTGAGAGCATGTTGTCATTCAGCCCCTACTAAAACAGGTCTCTTTCTTCTGGAAGCCTTCATTTTTCTAGAGGTATGACTGCTACTGCTTGGCTTGGGAACTAGAACTAGCAGTCAGTACAAGACACCGGGAGCTGGGTGTGACACAGATACTCATGATTTTCACTATGGTTACATTTGATTCTGGCCATGGCATCTCCCAGGACTTCCCCAAAACCAACTGCTCGTGGAAGAACTTTGTCTAGGGTTGCTATGTATAGTATGGGATTGTGCTCTGTTCCACCTTAAAGATCATTCTAAATTTGTATATTCATAATTTCTGGCATTTAGGATTAAGATGTCTTATTCCAATAAAGTAAATACATTATAATATATTTTCTGAGGAATAGGAGTAAAGAGTTATAAGGACCATAAAAATCCAATGTTGCCACATGGCCAGGGGTGGACCTGTCCTGTCCCACAGGAAGGGTCAGGGCACAAGGCCAGTAACCAGGCTCTGAATTCTCTCACCAGAGTGTGGAGGAAGACATGGCTCTTTGAAATAGCTGATTAGTGGCTTATTACAGTAAATTCGCCACTCCCACTCCACTTTTTTAAGGAAAGTTTTTCAGACTTTTCCTCTTTTTCAGGCACTGGGTCCTTACCTGGTGATAGTACCGCTCTTAACAGGAGCCTCTAAGGAAGCTGGGTTTCCTTTTCTCTCTCAGAGAGCCGCAGTACGAGCCGCCATGCCAATAGCTCACAGAGCTTCGCTTTCCCTGGGGTAAGCTGACTCAGGAGGTCCAGAAGAGCCACCTGGGCCAGGTCCCGGGGGAAGCAGGGCAAACCACAGAGAGGACATCACTCTCTCATGCTGCAGCACCCAGGGCGTTGCCGTATGGAAAGGATGGAGATGAGGAAGACCTCAGATTCCAGACAGGTACCTTTTCTTTCAGTTCCTCCCTGCCAAGGCTTATGAGCTAGTCACAGGGGGCCAAAGGAAACAAAGGGGGACAGGAAGCCATGCAAGAAGTATGGGGGATGAAAAGATGGTCCTAAAACACAGAGGAGAGAGAACACTAAGGGGAAGCCAAGCCAGGAAGACATCAGGATCAAAGGCCCAGTGTGACTGTGTGTGTCTGAGAGAGACAGACAGAAATAGACAGAGAGAGGGTGAAGAGGGGGGAAGGGGAAGGAAAAGGGAGGGAAGGACAGGGAGAGAGAATGGGGAGAAAGGCTTGGAAATGGGATGGACAGGAAGGCACGAGAAATTAGAAGTTCTTCCTAATCACTGAAGGCTTCTCAGGGAGCTGCATTTAGTTACAGCCAAGGATCCTGACTCTCCTTTAGCCTGGAGTGCGGAGTCTCCAGATCTGTGAAATTGCACCAGTGTGAGAAGCAGACATGAGGGACTCTCATCAATGCTTCAGTAAATAACCCATCACTGGGATGGAAGGTGAGGATGAGTGAATATTTTTTTCTGACCAACTTCCTCGATTTAAAAAAAAATTTTTTTTTTACACAGTGAAAAGAGCTAGAGTGGACCTAGAGTGAGAAAACCTGACTCAACTACCCATTGTTCTCTGTGTATCCTTGCAAGTCACTTCAGCTATGAGCTTCAGTTTCTTCCTTGTGATTAATAGGAGAAAAATACCACCCTGAGCCACCTCACAGAGCAAGGGCAGTGGGCACTGAAGAATGCATTTGAAAGAAGTCTTCTAGGGCTACCCATATATAAGACCTAGTAACATTAATTGCCAGTTGCTAAATGTGAAGGAGGTGGTGGGCAGCTGCCAGTGGGCCAGTGACCCTGAGGGGGTCTCTTAACCATCCCTGGAACCCAGGGGTAATGGGGACATCATGAAGTAGGTCAAAATGACCTCCAAAGTCCCTATGAGAGCCATCCGTGATTTGATTCTGGGATGGGAATTAAATGGTGAGTGAGTGAGACAATTTTAGAGTCTGCCTACAGTGATACATAGTCACTTCAAGTGAAAAAGAGTCAAAGATGGCAGTCTTGTAGAGTTTGCATATTCTGTTGTCCTAGCTCTGGTGCTGAATTTATGCATACAGCCATTTCTTAATAAGATGTAAGCCAAAAGTAGGGGGTAATTTATCATAGAACTGATCAAAATGGATCTGTCTTGGTTTTACTTAGAATTAAATTTCTGACTATTCTTGAAAATGGAATCATTGGAAGATTATCAATTTTCTATACGTTGTTTGAAATCTCCCCCATTCAGCAGTCTGTTAACTCCCATATCTCCTAGATCCCTTCCAATGACGTTCATAAATTTTTCTTATTGTATGATCACTTCCAATATGAGACAATAAACTTTTACCATGGGTAGAAGTGCCAGGTTAGATGTCACATGGCTGTGTTCTAGCATCAACCCCACCAGGCTGGACACAATCAATTATTTACTGAGGTCCCACTGGTAACAGGCCTACTTGAGTCCCAAGGGGTATACCTGAGGTGGGCCAAGGTGGACCAGCCACCAGGTCTTGGCTTTCTGAAGTGGGATATTCAGATCAAAGGTAATAGTTGACAGTACATGTTCAGGGAAAATTTGGGGTTGAGCAAGGAAATAGGAAAGAACAGGGCAACAGGGAAAGGAGAGAAATGGTCAAAGAAAAATTTAAAGTACATGATGTACAGTACAGTCCTCTCCAGCCTGGCTGTAGGTGGAAAATCAGAAACTCCCCATACATACCAGAGAAGCAAAGAATGCTGGCTCTTGATGAAACTTTAGTGCTCACTCTGATGCTACCTTTTTATGGATCAATAAATCTATGGCAAGGATCGTTTAACCCCTTCACCCCCAGTTTATATGTTACAATCTTGATTAAAATTACTGACAAAAGTCAAGGGCAATGATGACATGGTACAGTGTTGGACTTCCATGCAATTTAATAGGATTTCAAGTATTTGTAACTTCATAGATACTATTCTCCAGGCCTCCATTTCTACATCTACGGTTGAAAAGATGGATGGACAGGAAGACCTATAACCTCGCTTCCAACTATAATTCCCTGGGTTTCTTACAAGGCATTTGAAAACCTCAAGGTAACAAATCAAACTTTAAGGGTGGAGACCCTGGCACTTTTTCAAACTGCAGAGACTGTTCTGCTGTGTGAGTGGCTGAACCTAGAAACTATTTCACCCAGCCCCATCCCTTGCTCTGCAGGCCCTGGGAGAGGAGAGTTACCTGTCACCAGCTATTCTGCTGAGCAGGGGCTCCAGCCAGCCGGGGTGACACTCGCAGTGGGCATCCATGAAGACCAGCACATCTCCTGTGGCCCTGGTGGCGCCCAGCATCCGGGCCCTGATGGCACCCAGCCTCTTAGTGCTCCTGAGCAACTTCACACCCTCCAGCTGGGCCACATATTCACTGAGAGCAGACTTGAGTTGTCCTGGAATTGACAGGGTTCTGGTCAATGGAGTCACAGATGCCATAGCCAATGGGATTATGATGACTGTCACTAGGGTTGCTGTTTCTCTTGGATCCCATGGTGAGCACAAGGGTCCCAAAACTCAAATGCATTATTACAGTGGGGTTGTTGCTAAGAGATAAGATGCTTCCTTCATTGGGATAGGTCATGATGCTCCCCACTTGAACCCAGAAGGGATTGTGCAGAACTAGGAGAGGACAGAACTTGCTAATGTTCTCTCAGTGACAGAGAATACACCCCCAAAAAATATAGTAAGCTCCCAAATCCCTGCCTCAAACTCTGCTTCCAGGGGACCCAAGATAAGACAGTGGTCAAGGAAGTTAAAGGCAGAAAGGACATTAAATTTGGCAGCTGGCAAGTCAGTGAGGTGTTTGCTGAACAGGTCACATTGCAGTGGAAGGGTGAGTCTGTGAGGCAAAGAGTTGTAGGGAGGAAGTGGGAGGTGTTAAAAACTGAGACCAAGAGTGTGTACAGTGTTTTAGGAAGGCTGAGGGCAAAGGAGATGAAGGTTCTGAAGGAGAAGGTGATGAAAAGGATGAAAGATGCTTATTAAGTCTTGTGCTCAAAATAAAAAAGTCTAACTGTGTGTGTGCGTGTGCATGCGCATGGCGGTGGCACTCACATGCCAACAGGAACAAGCCAGTGGGATGGGAGGAGTAATGTATCCACAGAGAAGCAGAGGCTCCCATAGATCCTTGGAAATGGGGAGCTCCAGCCCACTAAGGTCTCCCCAAAGGTGAGGATGGTACCTCATGTATCTCGGCTGCTCCAACCCCTAGTGCAGGGCCTGGCTGAAGCCAGCACTCAGTACGTGTGTGTTGAGCAGAACTGAGCAAACTGCGAGAATTTGCCCCATTGCCCATCCCAGAGGTGGTCTTGACTGTGAACACATGTGGCTGGGTTGCTTTGAGAGCTGGATCTCTAGACAGGTGCGGGCAGGGGCAGAGGGCTGTCAGCCTCACCCAGGATCCCCCACCAGACTCCTGGCACTCCTTCCTCAAGAGCATCCTTCTGAGCATCACGGGCTTTCTGCATGGGAAACAATGTCCAGAGCAGTGGATGCAAGAATCTAAAGTTCCTCGGCTACACAGATCCCCGCTCTCTTGGCCATCATGTCTCTCAGGGGTAAAGTGTGCTGCTTTACTACCTTATAATTACTTTTCTGCCAGGTTGTTAGTCCCACTGTACTCCCTAGACAGGAACCCCTATTAGTTAAGCAATTAAAATTTCTGAATCTGCACATCTGAGAACCAGGCCTTTATGAGTTCACTGAATTGAACACTGCTAATCACTTTCTCCAAGGGAGAATTCTCCCTTCCACTTCTCTCACAGAACTTTGATTCTGTTCAGAGCAGCTCAAAGTATACATCTCCCAAGACTCTTTCTGCTGGTAGATGCTTTGGTAGAAAGATAATAAATGAGAGGATTCTGGGAAACTCTTATTTTAACTGATATTTTCCCCCTAAAAAAAACAAACTTTCAGGCCTCTGCCTATCTGCTCTCACTCTTTTCCTTCAGCATTGTGTGTGCAATGCCCAGAGGTGGAGCAGCCCTATTGTGATTACGAGGCCAAACTACGCTGTAAGCATGGCTAAATAGAAAACAGAGGAGCCGCGTCTCTGATGCTGTGTGGAGCTGCCATACCAGTCCAGTATTGCCATCCACAGGCTTCCCGGAGAGATCAGGAAGAATTTCTAAACTATAATTGTGGTTTGACTTTCTCAGTTTTTGAAGCACGTAAGACCACATGACTTGGAATAGAGTGCTTGGGAGCTGGTATGATCCTAGACCCATTCCTTCCAGAAAACAGCAATGGTATTGAATTCCATTTGCCAGAGACTATCATGGGCTGGGAAGCCCATGCATTTTCTCATTTAACAATTGAATGTGGAAGTTATTACTAAGATGAATAACTGGAAGCTCATCAAGATGACTCTGCCACACTGTCATGACCACAGCTGCCAGCAGCTTGGGGTGGCCCTACGCACCTTGTGGCAGCTTGTGCAAAGTGAGGCTGGTGAGCTCTGCTCTCAGGGTGGCCATGAGGAGTAAATGAGAACAGTGTATGTGTTGGCCTTTGTCTGAGCTCTGGGTCTGAGAGAAGTCACCTAGGGACAAACAGAGCCAGTGCCACCCCTAGCTGTGGGAAAGGCCTTGTCTTGTACCCGAGGGTCAGTGGGAAATGTAGGGTCAGTGGCTGGAGATCCAGCCTAATGGTGAAGGGCATGAGGAGAGCTGGACAGGAGGCAGCAGCTTAGATGCTGGACCTGGGATCCAGATACCCTCCAGCAGGACCAGGGGGGAGCTGAGGATTCAGAGGCAGCTGCTCTACTCCCCACACTCCTGAGGGACACTGGTGCGGAGGGACCGTAGGTGTGCATCAGCCCCAGCCCGGAGTTTGCTGTATCTCTGGGCATTTATTCCAGCCAGCCCAGCCAAGCCCTGAGACTGTTATCAGTCCTCCTAATACACAGCCATGTGTGTCTCAGGAGCCCCCATGTACTTCCAGAGCCTCTGGCTGGTCTGACTTTTTGCCTTGGCCAGGCTGACAAAACTCCTGACGTGAGAGCCTTGGAAAGAACAAATGAAAGTCTCTGTTCATTCTGTTCCATCCTCTGTTGTTCCCATTAGAAATGTGCTTCATAGAGCTCACAGATGCTCAGCTTCCTTCTGAGTATTTGCAGCTTCTCACAATGCCAGAGGAGCCCTCTATACGTCACTTAGTTGAGCCAGAAATGTATGACTTGGTCTCCAAGCCAAACATCAGGGCAGAGGTTCTCAAAGTGTGGGCCATGGCCCCCTAGCATCAGCACTAGCTGTGTTTGTCAGTAATGCGAAATCTTGGGCCCCAGCTCAGACCCCCAAAACTCTGAGCTGGCCCAGGAATCGGTGTTTTAACAAGGCCCCCATGTGATTCTGAGGCAGCTCAAGTTTGAGAACCATTGACCTGGAAGTCAGGCAGCAGACTTCTCTGTCTCCACTTTCTTCTTGGGGTGTTCCCTGCAGTGAGTTCCTGTCAGAGAGGGGCAGATTCTGCGCTCTTGGTTCTGGGCCAGCTCTGGTCTCTTCTCTTCTCTGGGCCCCGGTTTCCTCATCTGGACAGTATGTGAGTTGTTCTAAACAATGAATTGTAAAATGCTTGCCATGCATCTAAGAGGCAATGAACACTTAGAAAATGCTTACCCTCTTGTGCTGGGCAGAGGTTTGGGGGAGAGGCTCCTTGGACTGTGGGAAGCTGGTGCCTGAGAGAGCCCGAATGGGACCAGACTGACGTGACCCTGCACAGAACCCTCCTGGGACCTCCCTCTTGCTTTCTTCCTGTTCTCTGTCTTGCGCCCCCCCCACCCCCCCGAACTGCCTCACTGGTTTTCCGTGGATGCTTTTTGTTAATAAGTTAGTTACTTGCACCTGGTCTTCATTGGAGGTCTGCATATGGGGAGCTTTTCCTCAAATAGGTTCCAAACCCCCATTTTAGCATGGGCCTGACACCCCCAGGGGCCTAGGCCCACCCCAGGGAGCCTGGAGGACACCCACAGCTACCTTGCTGGCTGAGGTCGTCCACGAGGACGATTTCCTTCAGGAAGGCCCTGGGAGCCGTGTTAAGGATGCTATGAACCGTCCTCAGGAGCGTGGACCAGGCTTCGTCATGGAAACAGAGAATGACGCTGGCGGTGGGCAGGCTGGCCTCGGGCTGCTGCTGAAGACACCTGCAGGGAAGAGAGCCGGGGAACTGTGAGGGAAGGGCTACAAGAAGCACTCAGCATCCCCTAATTCACCCCAGCGGCGGAAGTCAACCCACCCCTCCATATCCAGAAGCTGTCCTTGATTTCTTAAAATCTGCAAGTAAAGAGACCCCACACACCCCACAGGAGCACCATCCACTAGCTCCCACCCCTCATATGTCCAGGGCTCTTTTGCCACATGCAATCCGCACCCCTCTCCTTGCAGTTGAGGGGCACCATACATCGGCATCACTCTCAGCAGATGACTGTTCTCATCCGTAAGAAGAAAATGAACCAGCATCATGAAGCTACTGCGAGGCTTGAATAGAATCATGCACATTGTTAAAAATCTCTAAACATTGATCTTCATCTGTTCAAAGGCAGGATAGCAATTTATTTGTTTGTGTATTCCTACCACCTAACACAGCACCTGGCACACAATTAATGTTGGCCTGTCATTATTATTATTAAAGAAGAGACAAAGGTTAAACATTGGTAGTGGCAACATGTTAGACCCATTTGCACATGTTACTGCATGTTCACCCTGTAAGGAATCTGTGGGGTGGGCTAGCTACCCTCCATTTCCGGATGAAGAAACTAAGGCTCAGAAAGGAGGCCAACTCACTGAAGAGAGGTAGAGCTGGATATTCTATCTTCAGTGCTTTCCTGCGCTTTTGGCTTAGCTGGCTGGGACTGGATACATGGGGGTGGGGGTGCATGGTGCTACCCACCAGGGGCTCTCTGAACCCTCTCTCTCCTTCCTCTTTGGGGGATGCCTGGCACTGGCTTTGCTTCAGGTTTGTGGAGAGTCTGAGCCAGTCTGTGGCTGCTGAGTGAAGTGTCACAACAACCTCTTAGGCAGAGGGGTTCACAGAAGGTGCCTTCCTGAAATGTGTTTCCAAAACACTTCTTTCTGGGTTATAGCTGCTCTAGGACATAGAGATAGGGTTACCTCCAGACTTCAAACTTGCAGTACTTAAAGGCATTTATGAAGGCAGAACTGCAGGCAGAGTGGCTGCCGGACCGAGGCTGGCCCCGCCTGAGGGACAGCATCCACCCTGGGGCTCACTGGCTGGGCACCCCCTGCCTGGTACCAGGCTCTCCGGGGCTGAGGACTCTCAAGGCACCAGAGACCTAGGTGACTCTCGGGAAGAGTCCTGTGTAGGAGGGACCATTGGTGCCAGGAAAGTGCTTTAAAATAATGGGAAACCGTTCCTAGATGCATAAAAAGCACATGTAGCCATCTCATAAACTAGCTAATTATTTTATTAGTTTATATATTTACATACTGTTTCTTTCCATAAAGGACTTGAAGTCGCTCATAAGAATTATATAAACAATAATAAAACAATAAAACTAAGGAGGAAAATTCAGGACCCAGGAAATATAAGTAAGCGTACAAAATCAACATTTGGAGAAAGAACATAAACATAGACGCCAATACAGCCAAGGTATTTCTAGAATGAATTTCAGATTTTATTTTGAGATTCTCCATAGCTAAAGTAAAATGGAAGGTTTATTCTACAACAGAATTATCACTATCAGAGAAGTTACATATCAGGTTACTTTTAAAAATGTTTTGTCTTTCAACTTATAAGTTTTTATTTTGAAATAATAAAAGACTCAGAAGAGTGGTAAGAATCATAAAAACTTCCCTGGTTCCCTCCCACAGCATCGCCCAATGATATCTTATATAACCATCAACAATGAACAGAACGCTGTGGAATCTGACACTGTTCAATACCATTGATTCAAATACAGACCTTAGTTGGATTTCACTAGTTTTTACATCTAACACTAATTTTTTTTAAGACATTGTTATGGATTTTAGGGGGGGGAAATTCCCTAAGTGGATGACAGCTCCTTAGAACCATCCCTTACAAATAAAATTATGAACTTTTAAAGTCTGAATTCTAGGCTGTTGAAATAATGTCCAAAGTGGAAGCAGCATCCCTGTAAAGCTTAGGAAGATAAGTGAGAGCCCCTGCAGCACGAGACAATCTTTGCTGATTCTCTTTTTCTTTTTTTACCAACATCTTGTCAGACTTTTATTTCTTTTCTTTTCACTTTATTAAATTCTTTTATTGGTACATTTCAGGTACACAACACAATTACATTTCTCATTGGGAATTGTACCTTTACATGATGCATCTTGGTTCTTATTTTTTCCCCATTCCTAGCCCTCCCTTCACCCCCTCCACCCTTCCCTATTTACAAAGACTTTATTTCCATTTTTTCCATTTCTCAGCATTTTTCCTTTCCCTTCTTTCCTTTCCCCTGCCCCTCCCACTACCCCTACCCCTTTGGACCTTTTCTTCCTATTTTACATTATCGATTATTCATTCTAATCATTGGTACATTTTAGGTATACAATATAATGACATTCATCATTGGAAATTTGCACCTTTACATAGTCTCCCTTGGTTCTTATTTTTCACCCTTGCCCAGCCCTCCCTTCAACCCCTCCATTCCTCTCTATTTATAAAGATTTTGTTCCTATTTTTCCATTTCCTCATATTAATCCCATTCCCTTCTATCCTTTCCTCTAGCCCTCCCACTTCCTTCCCCTTTGCCCCTTTTCTTCCTATTTCACATTACCTATTATACATTTATTCGAGAGATGCAAATGAAAACAACGCTGAGATTCCACTTCACTCCAGAAGGAATGGCTGCTGTCATGAAATCAACCAATAACAAATGCTGGCGGGGCTGTGTGGAAAGAGGAACCCTGCTCCACTGCTGGTGGGAGTGCAGACTGGTGCAAGCACTGTGCAAATCAGTATGGAGATACCTCAAAGAACTAGGCCTGGAAGTCCCATTTGACCCTGCTATTCCACTGCTGGGGATCTTCCCCAAAGAGTTAAAAGAATCATACCACAGTGATATATGTGCACCCATGTTCATAGCAGCACAGTTTGTGATAGCTAAAGCTTGGAAACAGCCCAAATGCCCATCAACTGGAGACTGGATAAAGAAAATGTGGTTTTTTTGTAAAATGGAGTACTACTCAGCCATAAAAAATGAGAAATTAGAGACATTTATAGCTAAATGGATGCACATTGAGGCGATACTCTTAAGTGAAATAAATAGGACACACATGTATAAATACCGAATAGTTTCTCTAGTGTGAGAAACTGAAAGTGTAAATAAGGACTAAATGTATTTGCTGATTCTCTTACTGGCCCCATCTCTGACTCTCCCTGTTCTCTCCCCATCCCCTGCTTGAGCTTTCCTCTTCTCCAGCCCACCAGACTTTCAGAATCTCTCCTCTGTCCTCAGAGATGCACAGGACTGCTCACAAGCAGGTTCAGCTAGTCCTTCATGCTTTCTCCATTTCCTTTGTGGCCGTGGGTAATGGCAAATCCAGGGGTCCTAAGACTGAGACTGGTAGCTTGTGTCAGTGAATTCAGTGGTTATGGAAAAACCCACACTGTTACTTAGGCATCTGTTTTCTAAGATGGGAAAGGAGTTTGGGGATAGAGAAGCCCAGACTTGGAATTCCTGTGAGGGTATTTAATAGAGTATCACCCTCCCCTATTTTCAGGTATGGCCCCTTTATCAATTTCAGTCCATAGAATGTGAGACTTGGAAATAAGACAAATATGTGTGTGTGTGTCCTTACAGTCAAGTGGTCAAAAGGACTTGGACTTTGGAATCTGACATATTTGAATCTTTACTGTGTTGCTTCCCAAGTTTTGTTCCCTTTGGTAATATCAGTTTCCTCATTTGAAAAATAAGGACAATAACATGTGTCTTTTGGGCCTATTGTAAGAATCGAGGAATAATAGTAAGCACCCAATAGGCCGTGAGCATTTTCTTGCCATCTTGGAAAAAGACAAGATGTAATTAACACGAATATGGTATCCATGATCATCCTGCTAAACTGTCACTATCTTTAGACAACTACTCTGCAGCACAGGATGCCTGCGGACCTACTTCACATTTGGGTTTCCTCCTGTGTGCAGTGGGAAGGCCAGTGGTGGCGCCTTCAGAGCTTTTGTGAGGAATAAGTCTGACAAAGTGCTCAGCATAGTACCCGACGTGTAAAACAAATTCTTATTCAAACTCTAGCTCTGTAAAACCAGGCTTCTTGCACATTCCCCAGAGAGAGGAGAGCATCCTGCTTTGCTGAATAGTTGGTGGCCAGGACACCTGACTTCTCTTCGGCCTCCTGAAATATTCTCTGCAGAGGCAGAGTCTGGCCTGGCAGTTCAGGTTGTGCATGCTGCAACTCCGCCACTTACCAGGCGTGCAAATGATCTGGGCAACTCATTTATCTTGGTTTCCTTGGGATGGGAACAACACCCACACTCTAGGGCCACTTGGGAAGATTAGATGGCCTTTATAAAGCATTAGGAAAAGCACTGTGTTTGCTGCCATCATTAATAGACAAAAACACCGTTACTAGAAGAGGCAGCTCTAAGGTTCTTCCAGACTGGAAATTTGATGTTCTTGGTTGTTTGGGGTCCCTTTCTATTAGATGGAAAATCAGGAGGGCAGGTATTTCAAAGAGCATTTCATAAATTCCTCTGGAGCCTTAATTTTCTGGATCTTATGAAGAGATGTAACTGTGTTTTCACAGAGAAAGCGAGAAGTAGGTGGCAGGTGATTGGCAAAGAGCTGGGAAAAACCCAACAGGCTGCGAAGGGCTTTTCAGGGCCCTTTTTGTGAGCTCTTGAAGCTCGTAGGAAGCAGAGGGGGACAGGGCCCACGCTGTGGAGGTGGCTCTCCTGCAGCAGCTCAAAGAGGACCAAACCCCTCTCTCAGGGAGGAAGCTCACGCAGCCTTCAGGACACACAGATTGCTGTGGGCCACCTCTCCAGGCAAACGCAGAAGCATCGGGAGAGCAGAGCTGGAAATAGCTGTGGATTAATCTGATGTCATCAGCGGAGGACCAGGGCAGGCTCTGAGTGAGCTGGGCGTGCAGCTGTCAGCCTTTCAGTTGTGCTCTGCAGTGCACAACTGAACACTATAAACAAGGCTGG